CCATTCCTTTGGCTCTACGTGCTCTGCTGTGGCACTGCCTTTCCCAGATCGTGAATGGCCTCGTTCTCCAGCACTTCCACCTTCTCCTTGCCTGGCTGCAGCACGCTGGCCACCATAGCCCTGGCCACCATCTCCACAGGCACGGAGTAAGCGGTGGGGAAGACCTGAGCCACAACACCCAGGAACTTCTGGACCATCCACTCCATGGGGCGAGACTCCTGCCGCTTGCACAGCAGCACCCTGCGGAGTGAAGAGGCGAGGTGGGTCAGCCTGAGACCATCCCCCTTATGTGACGGAGCTAAGCCCCGGGACACTGAACTCCTTTCCCTGCAGTGCTGCCAAAATCAGGATGTCAGCTGTCCTGAGGCATGGTACAGCTAAAGGGATGCAGGTGCGTATCCCCCACGTGTGAGGTCAAGGTGTGTGCGGAGGTAAGCTGTGACCCATGTCCCCCACCCCTGCTTTCAACCCAAACCTCTTGTGTAGCACTGATGGGGACTGGCTGTGGGAAGTGCTGTGCTTGCTCCTTGCAGCACCGGGGAGCAGCGTGCCTGTCCACGAGCTGCATTTGCAGCTGGTGGCTTTCTCCACTTCCCTCCCCAGCCTTCCCCTTCCCCATCCTTTGTCACCCAGCCCCCTACCATCGCAACCTTCCACCCGAGTCCTGTGCCCTCCCTCCTGCACCGCTACTCACGCCGGCCGGAGAATGGTACAGCGATCAAAACCAACGGCCTGGACCAGGTTCTCCACTTCTCCCTGTCAGAGCAGGATGAAAGGAGACAGGGATGACTGCAAGCCCTCTCCCTGCCGCCCCGTGAACTGGGAGGAGAGAGGGGCCGAGCCGTGGGCAGGACGGCACTAATGCCAACGCAAACGGGCAGTGAGCGACATTCCGAGGAAAAGGCAGCGTGGGCGAGTGTCCAGGGTGGACACGCTGACTGTTAGTCAGCAGCGCACCCTTGCAACCATCATGCTAACTGCAGCTGGACATTCCCGAGACAGATAGCCTCCGGACAGTGTCCAGCCTGGGTGTGCTGGCACAGGACACTGGCAGACAGCAGTGAGTCCCGCAGATCCTGGGGGCTGCAGCACACAACATGCAGGGAAAAAGGCTCTTGTGATGGGTACGGTCCCACCTGGGGTGGTTCACATCTCACCTGGACACAGCCCTGAGCCTCCCCATCCCAGCCCGGGGTTAAGAGGCTGGGGTCAGGCTG